GCTTGGAGGAACAGGTTATGCTGTTGATTTTGTGTCTTGTTATCAGCTCTTGTTCTGGGCGGAGCTGGGTTGTGTAAGCCTGCCCTCTGGCCGTTAGCAGGGGTCAAAGTTCTGTTCTCTGCTTCCAGGGAAAGCTGTCAGGGCGGGGCTGGAATGGTCCCACTCAGCCAGAAAGTCTGTGTTTTGGGGTGGGGCTGTCTGAGACCCACAGTCTGGAGCGGGCCTGGCTTCTTTCCACCCTCCCCAGGTCTGCAGCTACTCCTGGGACTCTGCCCGCAGGCCAGACCACAAGCCACCAGGCCTCCCTGGACTGTGATGCCGGCGGGGAAGTTCCCTGCACAGGAAAGCCACCTGGGTTGGGCGCACGGTCTCCTCCTGGGAGGAGGGTTACCCTCTAGGAAGCCGATCCGCCCCTGGAGGCACACACACCTCAGTAGGCTGTTCACGTATAACCTTTCTGTGCCCCGGGCAATGCTAGCCCTTGGTGCAGTGGATCTAGTGTGCAGGTCCGACCTCTGGGTCCCAGAGTTCAAACTTTATCCCCACCAGGGAGAGGATTTCAGGTCCCAATTCACCCACAGGGAGTCCAAGCTGGTTCTATGTCTCTCAGCCTCTGAGTCAGCACCGTTCTCCTGGGAACACCGTGCCAGCAGCACCTGGGAGGGCGTTCGGGTAGGGAGCTCACAGTCTGAGTTCCCCTGAGTCAGCTGTAGGGTCTCAAACGGGAAGGTCCCGTTCCCTGGAGGTGCCTCCAGCTGGTGGCTGTATTGTCTCTCTGGGCAGCCGCAGGTAGGGTCAGAGGAGGGGAGGAGGAGGCAACATGGCGCCTGCAGCGCGGCTCGTGTCTGTGCACATGGAGGTGCCCGGAGGAAGTTGGGAACCTGGTGCCACGTCTGCTACAGGCTCACTGCTGGCTGGCGGCGGTGGTCTCTGGGCTGGTGTCCACAGGTCTCTCCACCCGCTGGGGAGCCCACCTGCAGTCCCAAATGCAGGGGAGGGGAAACAGCAAATCCAGCTACCCTTGCTGCTGGTCTCCGGGCTGCTCTGGTGGTCTCAGCCTCCAGTTCTCCTCCGCAGCCTCCTCCCGTGGAGTCTCCCGGGGTCTCAGGTACACCTCCTTCCGGCCCTTGTCTGCTGTATGCTCGTCTTCTTGCTTGTTTCCTCTAATTTCTGCTAGAATCTGTCTTTTCTCCAGATACATTCTGTCTGGCAGTGTTATTCGTCTACCATCTTGCTCTACCTCTCCTCTCCTCAGTGTTTTATAGTTCTTCTTGTAGAGTTACTTCATCTCCTTAGCTAAATGTATTCTTAAGTATTTTATTTTCTTTGTTGCTATTGTGAAATGTATCAAGACTTTGATTTCATTCTTAGTTTGTCTGTTGTTGGTATAGATGAATGCTACTGATTTGTGTACATAGATTTTGTAACCTGAGAATTTGCTAAACCTATGTATCAATTTCAGAAGTCTCTTGACACAATATTTTGGGTTTTATAGATATAAGATTGTATCATCTGCAAAGAACAAGTGTTTTACCCCTCTATCCCTATTTGATTGCCCTTGATTTCTTTCTCTGGTCTGATTGCTCTGTTTAGGACTTTCAACACTATGTTGAAGAGGAGTGGTGATAGAGAACAGCCTTGTCTGGTTCCAGTTCTAAGTGGGAATGCTTTCAATATTTTTCCATTCAGTATTATGTTGGCTATGGTTTTGTCATATATGTCTGGTATCATTTTTAGTTCAGTCCCGTCTATGACTATTTTGTGAAGTCTTATCATAAAGGTGTGCTGAATTTTGATGAATACTTTTTCTACATCTATTGATAGTATCTTATGTTTTTGTTTTTACTGCTATTTATGTAGTGAATTACATTTATAGATTTATATATGTTAAGCTATCCCTGTGTCTCTGGGTTGTATACTACCTGGTTGTGATGGATTTTTTTTTTTGGGGGGGGGATGAGCAACTGAATTCTATTTCCTAGGATTTTACTGAGAATTTTTACATCTATATTCGTATGTGGTATTGGTCTGTAGTTATCTTTTTTTGTTGGGCCCTTTACGGGATTTGGTATCAGGGTGATGTTGGCTTCATAAAACATGTTGGGGAGGATTCCTTCCTTCTCAACTTTGTGGAATAATTTCTGCAGGATAGGTACCAGTTCTTCTTTGTAGGTCTGGTAGAATTTGAGTGTGAGATCACCTGGTGTGGGACTTATTTTTAGGAAGTTTTTCTATTGCCTCTTCAATGTTGGTACTTCATGTTGATCTGTTCAAGAATTCTGTGTCTTCCTTGTTGAGCCTATGTAGGCTGTGTATTTCTAATAATTTCTCTATTTCTTCTATATTTTTTTGTTCATGTACATAGATCTTTTATAGAATTAAAAGATGGTATTTTGTAAGTCTGTGGTATCAGTTGCAATTTCTCCTTTTTCATTCCTAATTGAGCTTATTAGTGTTTTTCATTTTCTGTTTCTAGTCAATCTAGCAAGAGGAATGCCAATTTTGTTTATCTTTTCAAAGAATCAACTTTATTTTATTAATATTTCATATGGTTCTTTTGTTATTGATTTCACTTATTCTCTGATCTACTTTGTTTCTTTTCTTCTGCTGGGTTGGGGATTTCTTTGCTCATCCTTTTCCGGATCTTTGAGATGCTTCATTAAATTGTTGATTTGTGAATTTTTTTGCATGTAGCTATTTATTGCTATGAATATTCCTCTCAGCACCACTTTAGCTGTGTCCCACAGATTTTGATAACTTGTGTCCTCATCATCATTCAGTTCAAAGAGTCTTTTGATTTCCATCTTAAGTCTCTCCTTGATCTGCCAATCATTCAGCAGTAGGTTGTTTAGTTTCCATGATTTTGTGTAGAGATGAGTATTTCTGTTGGAGTTGATTTCTAATTTTATTCCACTGTGGTCTGAGAAGATGCATGGTATAATTTCTAATTTTTTAAAATTTGTTGAGAAATGTTTTGTGGCCTAGGATGTGATCAATCTTAGAGAATGTCCTGTGAGCTGATGAGAAGAATGTATATTTTGTGGTTTGGGGGTAGAATGTTCTATAAATATCTGTTAGGCCCACATGCCCTACAGTTCTAGTTAAGTACCTTGTTTCTTTGTTTATTTTCTGTTTGGAGGATCTGTCCAGTTCAGTCAGTAGAGTGTTGAAGTACCTGGCTATTATGGTGCTGCTGTTTATCATTTTGTTTAGATCAAGTAGGATTTGCTTTATGAATCTGGGCTTTTCTCTGTATGTGTGTAAATATTTAAGATTGCTATGTCTTCTTGTTGAATTATTCTCTTTATCGTTGTTTAATGACCATCTTTGTATTTCATTACTTTTGTTGATTTGAAGACTGAGTTATCTGCTATTGGTACTGCTATGCCAGCTTTCTTTTGGTTTTCATTAGCATGGAATGTTGTTTTCCATCTCATCACCTTGAGTCTGGATGCATTCTTGTGGATTAAATGTGTTTCCTGGAGACAACAGATACTTGGTTTGTGTATATTTATCCATTTGGACAGCCTATGTTACTTTAGTTAGCAGTTCAAGCCATTAGCATTTATTGAAGGAATTGATAATTGGGGTGGGTTTCTGTTCATCCTGTTGGGTTGAACTTTGCTGCTTTGTTTCGTCTCTTGAACCATTCTAGTATCTGGCCTTCAACCTTAACCTTTTGGGTAAATTTACACTGGTGTCTATTGTGTTGATATGTGGCTAGCAATTTACATTGGTAAGTGTGTATTATGCTGATCTCTGAATAACAGAGTTCTGAGCACTTCCTATAGGACATGTCTGGCCTCCATATATTCCCTCAGTCTTTGGTTGTCTGAGAAAAGCTTTATCTTACCCTTCGATATTAAACATAGTTTTAAAGAGTACAAAATTCTAGGCTGGGCATTATTGTGTTTGAGAAGTCTGAGATTGAGGTCCCAATCCCTTCTGGGTTTTAGGTATCAGATGAGAAGTCTGCAGTTATTCTGATGGGTTTTCCTTTGTAGGATGCCTTCTGCTTTCACATTACAGCTCATAGGAGTGCTTCCTTCTTGTTTATTTTGGCCAGTCTGATGACTATGTGTCATGTTGTATTTCTCTTTCTGATGCATGTTCCGGGAGTCTTATGCACTTCTTTTACCCAGATGTATAGATTTCTAGCAAGTTAAAGGAAATTTTCCTCAATTATTATCTTGAATAAATTATCCAACCCTGTGTATTTTCTTCTTCACTCTAGAGATGCCAATGATGATTTTAGGCTTCTTTACACAGTCTAATATTTCTAGTAGGCTTTGTTCTCTCCTCTTATTTCTCTGCTATATCTCTGTGACTTACTTGCTTAATTGAAAGTTGTTGTCTTGAAGCTCTGAGTTCCTTTCTTCTGCATCATCTAACCTTTTATTAAGGCTTTCTACTTTTTTTAATTCCTTGAATGAATTTTTCATTTTCAGAGGTGCTGTTTGATTTTCTTTAATAATTCAATATTTTTAGTAAATTTTTCATTTATTTCCTGCATTGTTTCATGGTTCCTTTGTGTTGGGTTTCTATTTTATCTTATATTTCATTAAGCATTTTTAGAATCCATGTTCAAAATTCTTTGTCTGTCCTTTCAATATTCTGCTTTTGGTTGTTATCTATTGCGAGGGAGCTGGTGTTCCCTTGTGCGAGTGACCTTTCCCTCTGATTCTTCATGCTTCCAGAGTTGTTGTTTTTTTTGATTTTTTTTTTTTTTTTTTTTTTGCTGGTTCCTTCTTATCTGGAGCAAATATTTCTCACTTTTGGATTTTCTTTTTTTTAGATAATGACACATGCAATTTAGTTTCTGAGTGAGTAGGTGGTTCTTGTCAGTGAGAATCAACCAAACCCACTATGAATGTGTCAGTAAAGGCTGTAACTGCTGTGCAAATTGACCTCCCTCAAGTAGGTGGTGCTCACTGGAGGGAACAAGCAGCGCTGTTGTATTTGAATCATTTAACCCACTCTGGTTTCTCAGGACAAGCCCTTTAATGCCCCTGGTGGTGGGTGGGGCCCGAGTACATCCAGGTGAGTCCTTTATTCACCACTACTGCAAAGCCGGGTGGAGGAATTAGGCTGGCCTGTTTTGGCTGGGTTAGTCTATCATCCAGCTCCACAAATGCTGGTAAGGGGTATGCAGGGATTAAAGGACCAATTTCCTGCCTCTGGGCTAAAGGTCCTGGGAGGGATTTATTCATACAGAGAGTCTGCTCTCTAATCCTAGAAAACTCACCTAGGAGGATGCTCCCACCAAGGGAATAGTGGGAGCTTAAGAAACTCTTGGATCAATCTGAACTCCCTATTAAAGTCAGTGGTCGTGTGTGCAGCTACTTGTATTCAGCCTGAGGCACTAGTGTCATTTGGGCCATGGGAACCAGTACTTACATAAATTAATCAGCTAGATTCTGTAAAATTCAATATGATGGTTTATCATGGTAGATTGGGAGGGGGCACATTTATGGACCCCTCTTCTCCTGTGCTCCTACCCACCCTCCCAATAAGCCAGAGCTTTCACTCACCACAAAACCCTGAGTCCAGAACCTCTCTCAAATGCCTCTTTGCCCAGCCACCAGCACCATCAGCTGATCGATGCGCCAAACACCTGAAAGTGAGAAGGTCCCCAACTGAGGCTGCTCTGCCAGCTCGGCTGGAAGTGGAGACATGCCCCCAGCATTTGAACAGGGGGCTCTCAGTACAGAGAACTCAAGCAGCTGTTATGGTGATGGAGAAGGACCCACAGACTTCCAGTAATGCTCTTGAGCTGGAAGGGGGGAAGCACCTGTATGCTGTCCTTTCCATGGCTGTGGCAGCAGTCACTCTCTATGAGGCACTGTTGGCCAGGAGAGTGCTCCCCCCCCCACCTGAGGCAGGATAAGTCACTCAGTCAAGGGTCAACCATGGTTGCACTCTCCCACTGCTAAAGGCAGGCTCAGTTACTCAGCATGGGCTGGGCTGGGAGTGTGCTCCTCTTTTCCCAAGAGAGGCTCAGTCACTCAATACAGGCTGGGCCATGCCTCCACTCCCTGGTGGCCAAAGCAGATTCAGTCACTTAGTGCAGTGGGCTATCTGGTTCTTTGAGAAACTCCACCATGGTATGAGAGCCCTGTATCCCCATTGCAGGCTCAAGGTACCCAAGTGGGGGAAGGGAAATATCCCTTACCCTTTCCCTGGGCTCTGGAACTCCTGAGTTGGTTCTTGCCAATTTCTCCTTTCTATACTCCTCTCTGCGAGCTCTGTGGTTCCTCCTGGTGGTATCCTGGGTTCCACTGGTATCACTATCACTCTCTGCTTCCCTCAGTCCAAAACTCAGCTCCTGTACTGGGAATGTCTGACAAACTTTGACTCTAGTCAGCCATCTTGTCCTAATATGTAAATAGATATTTTTAATGTGAAGTCTCTGGTGTCATTTATTCTGCATCAAATGCTATCTTCATAATTTTTTACATAGGGATATCTATCCCCAAGACACTAATTTTGTTTAAGAACTTTGGTGAGCCATGGGTTCTTCCTGAAATAAAAACGTACATTCATCTTGTGAATGATCTCATGCTGGTGACTACTTCTAGATCAATTAATGTTTGACATATTTATTATCAATGCATTTTTTCAAATATACAGAGCATTGCATTGAGAGGATGTATCTGTGTTGTGACTATGAACATGAACTCTTTATAATCAGAAATGTCTGCATGATTAAATCCTTTCATGTCACCCTTCTAAGACTAGATGTTTAGGTCACTTGAAAAGAAAAAATTCATTGAAATTGCAGAAACAAGACCCTTTATGGATTGACTCAGTTGGCCTTGCATTATGATATCTAGGAAGCTCTAAGAAAACTGGTGCTTTCAGAACATATTATGTGAATAAAATAAGTTACCTGTGGTTGAAAGACCTTAGGATTAAATGCTACACTTACAGATATTAGAAGTAAAAGTACTGGAACAAAAAGAGTTTTGTCAAAAATATATTTGACTACAAATATCTTAAATACATTAAATATATTAAAACAGGAAGAGAAAACATGGGAATGCAAATCCCTTAGGAAACACAAATACTAACCAAATTGTCTACTTTTGAAGCCTAAGCTGATACTCTCTCATGCACATACTTTAACCAATTATTGTAATCCTAGTATACAAGACATCCTTAATATTCCTATCACATTTGTTTTTTGGTTTTTATTTCAGCATATTATGGGGATACAAATGTTTAGGTTGTGTATATTTCCCTTGCCCTCCCTCATCTCTGAGTCAGAGCTTCAAGCATGTCCATCCCCCAGATGGTGTGCATTGCACTTGTTGTGTGTATATATCCACCTACTACTCTCCCCTCCTACCTGCCTGATGCTTGATGAATGTTATTACTATATGTGTACTTAGGTGCTGATTAGTTAAAACCAATTTGATGGTGAGTACATGTGGCACTTATTTTTCAATTCTTTGGATACTTCACTTAGTAGAATGGGTTCTAGATCTATCCAGGATAACACAAGAGGTGCTATATCTCCATTGTTTCTTGTAGCTGAATAGTAATACATGGTATATATATACCACATTTTATTAATCCACTCATGTATTGATGGGCACTTGTGTTGTTTCCACATCATAGCAATTGTGAATTGTGCTGATATAAACATTTGAGTGCAGACGTCTTTTTAATAGAATGTCTTTTGTTCTTTTGGGTAGATGCCTAGTAATGGGAATGCTGGATCAAATGGTAGATCTACTTATATCTCATTGAGGTGATCTCTATATTGCTTTCCACAGAGGTTGTATTATTTTGCAGTGCCAGCACCAGCGTATGAGTGTTCCTATCTCTCCGCATCCACACCAACATTTATTGTTTGGGGACTTTTTGATAAAGGCCATTCTCACTGGAGTTTACATTTCCCTGTGGTCTGAAAAGATAAATGGTATAATTTTTTTTTTAATTTGTCAAGATATGATTTGTGACTTAATTGTAGTACAGTTTGAAGTCTGGTAAATTGATGGTTCCCAATTTGTTCTTTTTGCCTAAGATTTCTTTTGCTATACAGAATGTTCTTGGTGTAGCACCTCTAGTATTATCTTGGATAGACCTGGAGCCCATTCTACTAAGTGAAGTATCACAACACTGGAAAAAGAGGCACTACATGTACTCCCTATCAAATTGGTACTAACCGATAAACACTTATGTGTGTATCTAGTAGTAACATTCAGAAGGTGTCAGGCCAGTGGGAGGAGGAGGAGGAGATAGGTATATTCACACCTAATGATTGTGGTGTGCAGTGCCTGAGGGCTGGACATGCTTGAAGCTCTGAGTAGAGTGGGCCAAAGGCAATATATGTAACCTAGCATTTGCACTGTTTTAATATGCTGAAATGAAAAAAAATAATTTTAAAAAAAGAATGTGAATCAATTAGTGAAAGTTACTGTTATTTAAAAAGAATTAAACTTCATGAGGACAGGAACTTTTGTGTTACTGTGAACTTCTAAATCTCTACCATTTGGAATAGTTCTCAGATATATTAAAATTTCAAACATTTTGTGGAATGAATGAATGAATCACTGTATAGACAGATCACAAACTCTGAATCCAAATGGTTAGTATTTACTCATTTATGGATCGGCTGTTATGAATCTGGAGATTTTGGATATATATACAATGTTATGAGGTAGCATAATTTAGTTTCCATCTAGGTGAACTTTAGGAAAGACTCAGTTTTTTGTACTTTGAGTTCCATATAACAACAACAAAAAAAGGATTTTGTATTTTATTTATGTATTTATTCATGCATTTATTTTTAATTCAGGATATTATGGGGATACAAACATTTTGGTTACATGTAATGTGTTTGCCTCACCCTATCCAGGGTTGCCAGTGTGTCCTTCCCCATACAGCAGGCTCCACTTCCATTAGTTGTGAGTTTACTCTATCACCCACTACCTGACTGGCACCCTATGAGTATTAGTATCATGTAACCATATTGGTGTTGATCAATTGGTATGAATTTGATGTTAAGTACATATTTTTCCACCCTTGTGATACCTCACTTTGAAGGATGGATTCAATCTCTATCCAGGATAATATAAGAGGTGCTAGTTCATGATTGTTTTTTGTAGTTGAGTATATCCCATGGTATACGCATATACTACATTTAATTAATCCACTCACGTATTTATGGGCACTTTGGTTGTTTCCAAATATTTGCAATTGTGAATTGTCCTGCTATAAACATTCGAGTACAGATGTCTTTATTATAGAATTTCTATTTTTTCCTTTGGATATATGTCTAGTAGTGGGATTACTGAATCAAATGGTATTTTATTTTTAGCTCTTTGAGGTATCTCCAAATTACTTTCCACAGGGGTCTCTTAATTTGCAGTCCCACCAGCAGTATAAGCATATTCCAATATCTCCATATCCACACCAGCATTTCTTGTTTTGGCACATTTTGATGAAGGCCATTCTCACTGAAGTTAGGTGGTATCTCATATTGGATTTATTTGAATTTACTTAATGATTAGAGATGTTGTGCACTTTTTTATATGTTTGCTGGCCATTATTATGTCTTCTTTTGAAAAGTTTCTGTTCATGTCTTTGCCCATTTCTTAATGGGGTATTTGATTTTTTTTTCATTTTTATTTTCTTATGTTTTTTATAGATTTTTGTTATCAGCTCTTTACCAGATGTGTATAAAGTTAATATTTTCTCTCATCCTGTAGGTTGGTTATTTACTCTAATGTTAGTTTCCTTGGCTGTGCAGAAATTTTTAGTTTGATGAAGTCCCATTTGTTTATTTTTGTGGCTGCTGTGGTTGCTTTTGGGGTCTTATTTATAAACTCTTTGCCTAGGCCAATGTCTAAAAGAGTCTTCCCAATATTTTCTTCCAGAATTCTTAACGTTCATGCCTTAGGTTTAAGTCTGTCATCCATCATGATTTGATTTTTGTGAGAAGTGAGAGGTAGGGATCCAGTTTCAATCTTCTGCATGTGGATACCGAGTTTTCCCAGCACCATTTATTAAATAGAGATTCCTCTCCCAAATGTATATTTTTGTCTGCTTTGTCAAAGATTAGATGATGATATGAGGATGATTTTATATCTGGGATCTCTGTCCTATTACAAAGGTTTATATCTCTGT